CACAATATACCAGTGTAACAAACCTGCACATACACCCCTGAATCTAAAATAAAAGGTACATGGCTACCGGTTTTCAAAAAGACTATGAACTATCTGACTTTCACCCGTTCTTTTTGGCTTCCTAATTCTGAGAGAATAAGCCTATGAGCCAAACAGATCTAGACAGAATATTTTGTGAAGAGTAAATAAAGCAGACACATATTTATATTTCTAATCTTATGGAGATTTAACAACAAATGGAAAGTACTCCAGGCAAAATGAGTTTTGGGTTTCATTAAAATGTTATGAAAGCTAATATAAGACATTCACAAAAACAAACAAAAAAAGCACTCCAGCAGGAAATACTATTCGTAGGATCATGACTGGAAACATCTTATTTTCTGTCTCTTCACTGCAATCTCATTACAACAAGGTTACATCATAAAAGGCCACTCCTTGCTGAAAATGTGAATTGCCTTTTCATATCTACTCTGGCAGCTGCCTCAGTCCATTTCTTTCAGGTGGGGAACAGCACAGGTGGCATCTGTGGCGTCATTCTTTTTTTTTTTTTTTCTTTTTCTTGAGACGGAGTCTCACTCTGTTGCCCAGGCTGGAGTGCAGTGGCACGATCTCGGCTCACTGCAACCTCCACCACCTGGGTTCAAGCAATTCTCCTGCCTCAGCCTCTGAGTAGCTGGGATTACAGGCCTGTGCCACCAAGTCCAGCTAATTTTTGTATATATATATATTTTTTAATAGCGATAGGGTTTCGCCATATTGGCCAGGCTGGGCTTGAACTCCTGAACTCAGGTGATCCGCCTGCCTTGGCCTTCCCAAAGTGCTGAGATTATAGGTATGAGCCACGGCACCTGGCCAGTGGTGTCGTTCTTGAATGATTGCTCCTTTTAACTATTTTCTTCAATTTCTCATTACCATTCCTATCTTCTTTATGCTAAACCTCCTGCTGGCAGCTGTCTCCCTCTGGCTTCTTATTCTTTCCCATGTCCTTGGCAGTGTGGCTGATGGGCTGGGGAGGCTGTAATCGAGGGATCTTCCTTCATGGCATGGTCTAGCCTGGGAATGGGGCGGAGGCAAGAGTGGACAGGGTAGCAGGAAGAACAAAAAGGCACTAACAGGGGTCTAAGGCACCTTTATACTTTGGGAGCCACTATTACTGGAGAGTAACACGAGAGACCCTCCCTCCCCTTTTTTTTTTTTTTTTTTTGAGACAGGGTCTCCCTCTGTCACTGTCACCCAGGCTGGAGTGCAGTGGTGCTATCATAGCTCATCGCAGCCTTAAACTCCTGGGCTCAAGTAATCCTCCTCCCTCAGACTCCCAAAGTGCTGGGATTTTTTTTTTTTTCTGAGATGGTGTTTCACTCAGTCGCCCAGGCTGGAGTGCAGGGGTGTGATACCAGCTCACTGCAACTTCCACCTCCTGGGTTTAAGTGATTCTCCTGCCTCAGCCTCCCGAGTAGCTGGGATTACAGGTGCACACCACCATGCCCAACTAATTTTTTGTATTTTTAGTAGAGATGTGGTTTCACCATGTTAGCCAGGCTGGTCTCGACCTCCTGACCTCGGGTGATCCTCCTGCCTCAGTCTCCCAAAGTGCTGGGATTACAGGCATGAGCCACCGCACCTGGCCTTTTTTTTTTTTTTTTTTAAACATAAAGTCAAAAGAAGCTAATGGCAAAGATAAAGTTACATACACTCTGAGTAGATTCTGGTTTTAAGACATCTGACAGCTGATATGACAGAGACTTCCAGTTCTGCTAATTTACTATCTGGGCTGCATCTTGGCTGAGACTGGGTTTTTCCTTCCACCTTCTCTCTCTCCTCACCTCCCCCAAAAGCTTGAGGCTGGGAAGGGAGTGTTGTGGTGCCAGAATTGTCGGAAGGTTTAGCAAAATGTTGTAAGAATGCAGTAGGAATTGGTGATTTTAAAGAGGGTTTCTATTTAGTGCGAAAGATACAGTAATAAAGCTTTTACAGAAATAAGTAGGACAACATGTTTATGATCCATGAATAAACAATTTTTGTTTTTTTGAGATGGAGTCTCGCTCTGTCGCCCAGGCTGGAGTGCAGTAGCGTGATCTCAGCTCACTGCAAGCTCCGCCTCCCGAGTAGCTGGGACTACAGGCGCCTGCCACCACGCCCAGGTAATTTTTTGTATTTTTAGTAGAGACGGGGTTTCACCATGTTAGCCAGGATGGTCTTGATCTCCTGACCTCGTGATCCGCCCTCCTCGGCCTCCCAAAGTGCTGGGATTACAGGCATGAGCCACCACGCCAGGCCATGAATAAATCATTTCTTATACAGAATACAAAAAGCACTAACCATTAGAGGAAAGACTGATAAATCAGACTTAATTAAAATTAAGAACTTTGTTCATCAAAAGAAGAAAATTTAAGGCACACTGGGAGAAGGTATTTGCCATATATGTATTTGACAAAGGACTTACATGGAGAATACATAAAGAATTCTTAAAAGCAATAAGGAAGAGAATGACATCTGATTCTTAAAATGGGCAAAAGTTCATATCCTGTTTAAAGAGCCAATACTCCCCGCCCCGCCATGCAACCAACAAATAAAGTGGGCAAAAATTCTGAGCAGGTGCACTCCAAAAGGGATTATCCACATGGCCAATTTGCTATGAAAAGGTGCTCAATCTCCACTGCCAAAAGAAAAATGCAAATCAAAACCACAACGAGACACTATACATTACCCACATGACCTCCAGTAAAGACTGATGCTACTAAGTGCTGATGAAAATGTACAGAAATTGACCTCTCATACATTGCTGAAAATACATAAATTATACAAATATTTCAGGCATCTGTTTGGTACTATCCTAGAATGTATACATACCCTAAGGCCCAGGAATTCCATTCCAAAGTATGTAACCAACAGGAATGAGCACATATGTGTTTCAAGAGACAGCCACAAGAACATAACAGCGCTATTCACCTTAGCCCCAAATTGGACTTGACTCAACTGTCTACCAATAACAGAATGGATAACTAAATAATGCTATAATCCTACAATGAGTTACTAAATGGTGAAGAAAATGAATAAATTACAGTATAAGCGACAACATGAGTAAATCTCACTGATTCAATACTGTGTTAAAAAAAAAAAAAGCTAGATGCAGGGGGTTCCCTCTCTCCGCTCTGAAGTCCCCCTCCCTCTGTCTCTGTACAGGGGAGCTTCTATTTTCTGCCTTCTCCCATCTTTCTTGCCTATTAAACCCTCTGCTCCCTAAAACAAACAAAAAAGATAGATGCAAAATTACATAGTTTTAAAAATTCCATTCGTAATAAAATTCAAATGCAAGCAATACTAACATAATATTTACAGCTGCATACTTTTGTAAAAATCTATAAGGAGAAGAATTGAGGACAATGGTTATCTTAGGGAGTAGTGAGGGGTTATCATGGGAAAGTCGTAGGAAAGGTCTGTGGGAACTGGCGATGCTCTTCTTCTGGATGCGAGTGGTGACTGTATGACTTTTCACTTCCTCATAGTTCAAGAAACTGTATGACTTTTCACTTCCTCATAGTTCAAGAAACTGTATGACTTTTCACTTCCTCATAGTTCAAGAAGCTATCATTTGGGGCTGGGAGCGGTGGCTCATGCCTGTAATCCCAGGACTTTGGGAGGCTGAGGTAGGTGGATCACCTGAGGTCAGGAATTCGAGACCAGCCTGGCCAACACAGTGAAACCCCATCTCTACTAATAACACAAAAATTAGCCAGGTGTGGTGGCTTACACCTGTAATCCCAGCTACTCCAGAGGCTGAGGCAGGAGAATTGCTTGAACCCGGGAGGCAGAGGTTACAGTGAGCCGAGACCACGCCACTGTACTCCAGCCTGGGCAACAGTGAGACTCTGTCCCTTAAAAAACAACAACAACCAAAAACTATCGTTTAAATTTTGTGCATTTTTATCTTTGTGTATAGTGTTTTATACGCACAAAAAACTTAAACTTATACCAGGTATTAATTCCTTTTCTGAACAGAAAACAGATACTGTCCTAGTAAACAAAAACTCTTAAACTAAATGCAAACAACTCTGAAAGCAATAGAAAGAAAATATTTGGAGAAGTTTTGGAGGTCCATTTATGTAGGGCCTTTATATGAATTAAGCAAAGCACTCTTCTTTGGGAGTGTAATTTAGCAAAAGCTGTCTCCTTGGGTGGAGGCCCCACTACAGCATTCTTCCACACATTCCCACTGATCACAAAACCCACACCACTACCTCACTGACGCCATACCCACTAACAGTCACGCAAAGAAAACAGCCATTCTATATTGTTCTTTGGTGCCCTCATAATGTTTAACCTTGCCTTTTACTTAAAGGATTACAGGAACTGGCCTTAGGAGATCCAAAATATCCAACCAAGGTTGCAAGTATCCCACCTCAGGAAGGAATGCTAAACAACTGATTCATACAGCCTTGCTGCCACCAACCAGAACACCAGGTGGCCCATTACTTAAGACAACCATCGCCAGCAGGTAAGCTGACCCACATCCCTTCCCCTTCACGTTCTCTACCCTACCCAGCCAGCATTCCCTACCTTGACATCAATTTCCGCACATTGCCTAATAAAAAAAAAATCCCTACCAGCTCATTTCAGGGAGTCAGCCAGAGAATCCTCCCTCTCCCTGTGCTTCCTCCCTTGTGCCTGGGCATATGCTCTAATAAAGCCTTGCTGGAAAAACTTTTGGCCTGGTGAGAATTTCTATTGCATCAAGAGCCTAAGAACCTGTGGTCGGTAATACTTTGAAGAAAGGAAAAGGTCCCACTTCCCTAGGGAGATGCAGCTCTGCATGCAGCCATATGTTTGGTGGGTGGAGTGCAGACTGGCTTCCCGTTGCATTTGCCTCTCGGTTTGGGGGAATAGAAAGATGATAATTACATGCATACTGGCCCACTAAGCACAGGCACACATAGAGCATGTACTGGCACAGGACTACTACTGCCCGGGGCTGGTGGAAGTTGGCTAATGTTGCCCCTTACCGCGTAACCTTCTGTCTTCTGGTACCATTTCAGTACAGCATTGTGCTTGGAACCGCCATATTCCCACGCCAAGGCCACCAGAAGGTTTCTTCTTTCCACACTGGTTAGAGAGAAGAGCAAATGTTAAGGAGAAGATGCTAATGTTTAGAATCCTCAAATTCACAATAAATAAATATCTACTTTAGAAAAGAGAATGTCTGGTTTATGCAGCCAGACTCTGAAGAAGCAACCACATTAGTTACATTAATAATATATTTGATGTCTCATAGTGTGAAATAAACATGAAATTGTGCCTCCTGACTGTCATGAGTCTGGGGAGAGTTTTGCTACATTTTGTTTTAAAATCCATCTGTTGCTCATCCATCTAGTCTTTTATTTGTGTAAATATAATTCAGGCTAGAACTTTCAATTCAATCTCATTTGAATTAAGGATATCTATACAAAAGCATTCTACAGGTTTCAAGACTACATCAGTATCTAAATAACTTGCAAAAGGTAGAGATTGGCACAGCACAGTGGCTCACGCCTGTAATCCCAGCATTTCGGAAAGCTGAGGCAGGAAGATTACCTGAGCCCAGGAGCTTGAAACCAGCCTGGGCAACATAGTGAGACCTTGACTCTGAAATAAATAAATAAATAAATAAATAAATAAATAAGCTGGGCATGTTGGTGCACACCTATAGTTCCAGCTATTCAGGAAGCTGAAGTGGGAGGACTGCTTGAGGCCAGAAGTTCAAGGATGTAGTGCATTATAGTTATACCACTGCACTCTAGCCTGGGCAACAGAGCGAGATCCCCATCTCTAAAAAATAAATTTTTTTTTAAGGTATATTGGAAGGGCATATTAAAAATACCAGATATCCTGCCATTGCTTTATCTCAGTAAGATAAATGTAAAATCGAAATAAATTGATTTTACTAATTCAGCTTTTCACTATGAAAGATAAAATATCAATAGCATATTGATAGCTTTCCTGTATGCATATCCGGTATAATAAAAATGAGAATTTTAGAATAGCACTAATACTGGTTTTTAAAACCTCTTTTGATTATTTATATCTTGTACACATAAACAGGACAATATGTAACATCTGGGGCTTTAAATTAAACCTCTGAAATATATGACTTCATCTGTTTGGGTGCAAATATAGGCTACATCAAGGTATAACAATAAGACCTAACTTTTTCATTCAGACTTTCATAAATCCTTTGACAGTACCCTTATTTGTACTAGCTACTCGGGAGGCTGAGGCAGGAGAATTGCTTGAACCCGAGGCAGAAGTTGCAGTGAGACTCTGTCTCCAAAAAAAAAAAAAAAAAAAAAAGCTATTACTCCAAAAGTAGCCAATTTTATATACTGATAAATAAACACACATTCATAAGTTTTACTGAGTGAAATGTTATGTGTATTGCACAATGCAAGGGGCTGGGAGAGATACCAAATGTAAGCTGAACATTTACTGTCCACTAAATTACAGCATAAATGGAGATAAAGGCAAATACTGTGCAGAAGTTATCCACACCACAAAGCAGTACAGAAATTAAACACTGGAAACACTGTAAGACACTGAAGTCAGAGAAGGGAGATGTTGGCCAGGCATGGTGGCTCACACCTGCAATCCCAGCGTTTTGGGAGGCTGAGGTGGACGGAGTTTGAGAGCAGCCTAGACAAAATGGTAAAAAAAACTCGAGGTCAGGAGTTTGAGACCAGCCTAGAAAAAATAGTAAAATCCCGTCTCTACTAAAAAAAAATACAAAAATTAGCTGGGTGGTCGTGGTGCATGCCTTTATAATCCCAGCTACTTGGGAAGCTGAGGCATGAGAATCACTTGAACTCGGGAGGCAGAGGTTGCAGTGAGCCCAGATCGCGCCACTATACTCCAGCCTTGGTGACAGAGTGAGTGAGGATCTGCCTAAAAAAAAAAAAAAAAAAGGAAAAGGCAGATGTCAATGCTGCCAGGTGTCAGCTATAACTTCATGGAAGTTTTGACCTTTAAATAAAGAGAACAGTATTTAGAGTATGAAAGGGCAAAAGGAAGACAATTCAAGTTAGAACCTTATACACAAAGACTTACACTCAGATATGCTTGTGCAGTATTGCTAAGACACGGACTAAAGTAGGTTCGGGTGGAAGGAGAGGCCAGGCTATTCTGGCAGGTGGGCAGGGGTGGTGCTAAGTACTGGAGCATCTAGAAGACTAGGATGAGGAGTGTGGATGACAGAGTCATGGGAAATTTCTGCAAGGTCTGTAGCAGGATGTGCTCAGTGCTTCAGAAGATTAACCAACATGAAGAAGCAGGAAGACATGAGAGGAAACAGTCGAAAGAGGTTTGCTGTAACCTGGGTGACCAGGAGCACTGAAAAGGAAGGGGGTGACTGACAGAGGTGTGGCAGCAAAGACCAGCTCTTAGTGACCACCCTGCTGGCCTTGCAGTCCTCTCCCTCTGCCAACCCCTCCTTCACATCCCTGCAAAAGTCCTCCTTAAACACTGATTTCAAAATGCCTCTCTAATCCTTATATGCCACTGTTTTCTGTTGATTCCTCCTTAAAATATGGGTCCAATCTCACTGTACCATAACTCAAAAACAGGAACAAATCCCATAAACTTGGTGGCTCCTCAGTGTTTTACCAAAATAAAGCACAAACCTCTTCCTTAGTAATGAAGATTTGCAATATGGCTCCAACCTGCCTTCCAGCTAGAATGACCTAGCCACCTATCCATCCACCCAACAAATACTGACAAAGAGCCTACCATGCATATATATGGCAGAATGCCCGGCCTCAGGAAGCCCACAGTCTAGTCCAGACACACACCACCACCCACATTCCTCAAACTTCTACTTCTCTCTAGACTTCTTAAGCCAACTAACGACTCTCAAGTACTTTGCCTATTCAGTATTGTTTTTTTACAGCTCTTAATTTCATCTTGCACACTACTTACTGTCCAGCATCCTCCTTTTAAACTCACTGAAGGCAGGTACTGCATCTTAATTATTTTCATGCAGGAAATACTTGTCAAAGTCAATTGGCCAGGAGGACAAAACAGAAGGAAGAATCAAAGCTGATCAGCCCTATGTTTTTCTGATTTCTTACTGTTTGAGACATGATACCTGAGACTGCTTTGTAAAGGCTCCCTCTTTCTTGGGGCCACTTCCACTTTCCCTCTGGTGGAAGTGCTCAGCAGTCTCATGTCCCCAAAGCCCAGAGAGGGGGCATCTGCTCAGTGACTCCAGTGACGGACTCTTGCAGAGGTGGGGGTCTGGCTTCAGTTCCTAGGTCTGTGGGAACGACCACATAATCACCTATTCCTGAAGAAGAGGCTCTTGACTGCCATTAAACTCCATTCTCCAGTACAATACAGTTCTCATTTTATCCTCAAGTATAAACATATATATGCTTCTGATGTAATGAAAATGCAACAGGGACGTGGATTCTCCAGGCAGGACCACCACATCCTTTATAGGATCTATAACCAAATCAACCCTTGCCCAAAAACTGTGAATTTCAAGATGATGTCATCAGAGCCCTTATGAAATTGCCCTCACCTGGGGAAAGACATTACCTGCCCCCAGGTAATGTTTTAATTGACAGACATCTGATAGAGAGAGAGGCAGGAAAATGCCTCATGTGATGATCAGATCACAGGCAGCAGCAGGCAAGAAACTGGGAACCATGAAAAACTATTTTACATGAGAAAAGGCCATTCCAGCCACAGGGCCTGGTTCAATAAAAAAGTAGAAATCATTCTGCAGCAGGAAGAGCCGCAAACAAAACCCCTCAGACACCGAGTTAAAGAAGGAAGGGGTTTATTCGGCTGGAAGCATTGGCAAGACTCCGGTCTCAAGAGCCGAGCTCCCCAAGTGAGCACTTCCTGTCCCTTTTAAGGGCTCACAACTCCAAGGGGGTCTGCATGAGAGGGTCATGATTGATTGAGCAAGCAGGGGGTACGTGACTGGGGGTTGCACACACCGGTAATTAGAACCAAACAGAATGGGACAGGGATCTTCACAGTGCTTTTTTATACAGATAACCGATTAGGTCAGGGGTCGATGTTTAACTACCAGGTCCAGGGTGTGACACCGGGCTGTCTGTGGATTTCATTCTGTCTTTTAGTTTTTACTTCTTTCTTTGCAGGCAGAAATTGGGCATAAGACAATATGAGGGGTGGTCTCCTCCCTTAATTCTTTCAAGGCTCTTTTGGTCGTTATATAAGTCAGATTCAAAACAGATAATGAAATAGACCGAATCCTCCAGATGATATTTCTTTTTCTTTTTTAGATACGGGGTTTTGCTATGTTGCCCAGGCTGGATTTGGACTTAACCTCCTGGGCTCAAGAGATCCTCCCAAGTCAGCCTTCTGAGTAGCTAGGACTATAGGAGCATGGCATGATACCTGGTCAGATGATATTTCGTAAAGGACCATAAAAATATAGAGCAGGAGAAACCTTTCAAGATTGTCTAGTTTATAGTTATAGAGGAAACTGGAGCTAAGAGAATTAAGTGCCTTGTTTAGAGCTATGCCACAGGCCAGAGACCAGGCCCACAGTTGCTGCCCATGACCCACAAATAGTCACGGAAGCAAACAATCCTTCTACAGCTCACAGCCACCAATTATGGGTACTGAAGTTGGGAGTGGGGCTAATTAGCTCTAAATAGCAGAGAAAAACAGTATTTACATCACTAAAGAGAACAACAAAAACAGCCCATTAATCCCTGTTTCTGTAGCTTCTGATGACCTCAATGTTGACAAGCAACTTCTGGGGACTGCTGGAAGCAAGCAATTGTCACTGTGATCCTTTGTTATTACAGTAAATAGAATCATCCAAGCAGACAGGTGCCTGGAGGGGGCTAAGTGGGGAGTATTGTCAATTAGGTATTTACTTCAGGGCAAGAGTTGTGGTCTCAACTTTAGCATGCATCTTGGCAATTAAAATAGTGTTGTTTTTGGCCAAGCATGGTAGTTCACATCTCAGTGCTTTGGGAGGCTTAGGTGAGAGGACTGCTTGAGGCCAGGAGTTCAAGACCAGCCTGGGAAACAAAGCAAGACCCTACGTCTCAAAAAAAAAAAAAAAAAAAAAAAAAATCAGCAACAAAGTTTCTGTCACCCTAGCACAAGCACACTGAGAGGTGCAGCTGGCAGGAGGTAAGACACTTATTCCTTGTGTCAGCTGCACTGCTGGATCTAATGTCCATGACATGTCCATTATTCAGGGGTTGAAACCGCAGTTAAGTCAAAAATCTTTTATGTTTATATAATTTACCTGAGAGGGGAAGGTCAGGAAGGTCCAAGTCACCCCTTTGCTGGCTGACCTCACACTGCTCTAAGCCAGATGCCTCTGTAAAAAGCAGGGCACCAGAATGGTGAGCTTGTAACATCAAGAACAGCACCAACACAGGTGTCTGTGTCCGTGCGTGTGTGTGTGTGTGCGCAACAGTTCTTAAACACAGTGGAGTAACTGGGGGAGTTTTTAATTAACTCATTTATTCAAATAGGTAATATATATAATAGACACAATCCTCAAAAGAAACAAAAAGGGCAAATAGCGAAGAGAAAGTCTCCCTTTCACTCCTGTACCCCAGTTCTCCTTCCCAAGTGTACTCAATACTAATCAGCTTTGTGAATATCTTTCCTGGAATGTTCTCTGTATATTCAAGGACATGTGTAAAGGTATTCTATTTTGAATGGCCAACAAGTATACGAAAAGATACCCAACATCACTAATCATCAGGGAAATACAAATCAAAACCACAGTGAGGAAGGCCATCATCAAAACCCAGAAAAAATCAAGTGCTGGTGAGGAGGCAGAGAAACCCTTGTGCACTGTTCATGAGCACATACCATAGTGTAGCCATTATGGAAAACAGTATGGAAGTTCCTCAAAAACATAAAAATAGAACTACCAAAGGATCCAGCGATGCCACTTCCAGGTATTTATCCCAAAGAATTGAAAACAGAATCTCAAGGAGATATTTACACTCTCGTGATCATTGCAGTGTTATTCACAAAAGCTAAGAGGTGGAAGCAACCCAAGTGTCCACCACCAGATGAATGGATGAAGAAAATACGGTATGTAATATACAATGGAATATTATTCACCCATAAAATGAAAATATTATTCACCCACAAAAAGGAAATCCTTCCCATGCCACAACATAAATGATTCTTGAAGACATTATGCTAAGTCAAAGAAGCCAGTCAGAGAGGGACAAATGTTGCATGATTCCATGTATGTGAGTGTATCAGTCCATTTCACACTGCTATAAAAACAAGTCAGTCACCTCCAAGATACAATGGGAGTACAGGAATTGAATAAATGCTTCTGTTCCAAATGGGAGAAATTGGCCAAAATAAAGAAGCCACAGGCCCCATGCAAGTCCAAAACCCGGTGGGACAGTCATTAAATCTTAAAGTTCTGAAATGATCTCCTTGACTCCATGTCTCACATCAGGTCACACTGATCCAAGGGGTGGGCTCCTATGGTCTTGGGTAGCTCCATTCCTGTGGCTTTGCAGGGTACAACACCCCTCCTAGCTGCTTTCATGGGCTGGAGTTCAGTGCCTGTGGTTTTCCTGGGTGCAAGTACATGCTGTCAGTGGATCTACCATTCTAGGGTCTGGAGGACGGTGGCCCTCTTCTCACAGCTCCACTAGGTAGTGTCCCAGTGGGAGTTCTGTGTGGGGGCACCAACTTCACATTTCTCTTTTGTCCTGTCCTCGCTGGGGAACTCCATGAGGGCTCCATCCCTGCAGCAGACTTCTGCCTGGACATCCAGGCATTTCCATACATCCTCTGAAATCCAGACAGAGGTACCTAAACCTCAGTTCTTGACTTCTGTGTACCCACAGGTCCAACACCACATGGAAGCCACCAAGACTTAGGGCTTGGGGCTTGCACCCTCTGAAGCAATGGCCCAAGCTGTACATTGGCCCCTTTTAGCCACCACTGGAGCTAGAGTGGCTGGGACACAGGGCACCAAGTCACAAGGTTGCACAGAGCAAGGCAGCCCTGGACCCAGGCCACAAAACCATTTTTAATTCCTAAGTCTTCGGGGCTGTGATGGGACAGGCTGCCACCAAGATCTCTGACATGTCCTGGAGACATTTTCCCACTGTGTTGGTGATTAATATGCGGCTCCTTGCTATTTATGTAAATTTCTGCAGCTGGTTTGAATATCTCTCCAGAAAGTTGGTTTTTCATTTCTATTGCACTGTCAGGCTGCAAATATTCCAAACTTTTATGCTCTGCTTCCCTTTTAATCATAAGTTCCAATTTCAGATCATTTCTCTCAAGTTTAAAGTTCCACAGATCTCTAGGGCAGGGGCAAAATGCCACCAGTCTCTTTGCTAAAACACAGC